ATTGGCAGTATGTTCAACACACACATACTGATGAGGCTTTTAAAGCAGCCAAGGTCAAAGTATGGCTTTTGTTTTTGTTTCTCTTTTTATTGTGGCTGATGCTTTGAACACTTAAAATAGTTTGGTGCATTATAGGCTTATAGACTTACACAATCAAACACACTCTGCAAATTTGGTGAAAATGCAATCATGTGTTTTAAAGTTGTGGAGGTTAAGCTTATGTGTCTTTCATGACCACAAATGACCTTTGACCTCATGGCCCAAACATTTAATCATTACCTTCTGAAGTCATTATATGAGCACAGCCTGCAAATTTGGTGAAAATCCGATTATTCGTTCTCAAGTTACTAGCAGATTAAGCTTATTTTATGTCGTTGACTCCAAATGACCTTTGACTTTTTACCACATGACCCCAACATTCAATAATTTCCTTCTGAAGTCCTTATTAACACATCCTACGAATTTGGAGAAAATCCCATCATCCATTGTGGAATTATCGGGACAAGCCACCGCTTCTGTTGATGCCTATGTAAATAATTTGCAATTTGTAATTTGTTGTGGATTTTTTCTGAATAAATGTAATTAACATTGATTTAGTGCCCTCTGTGACCCTGTGACCTTTGAACTCATGACCTCAAAATGTTATAAATTCTCTCTTACCTCGTTATAAACATACCCTGCGAATTTTGTGAAAATCCGATCATCCGTTGTGGAATTATCGGGAGATTAAGCTTATTTAATGCACTGTTGACCGCTGTGACCTTTGACCTCATGACTCCAAAATTTAATGGTTTCTTTCTTACCTCATCAAAAACCCACCCTGCGAACTTGATGAAAATGCGTCCATCGTCCTCAAGTTATCTTCGAGATTAAGCTTATTTAATGTACTTTGTGACCTTTGACCTCATGAGCCCAAAATTTAATCGTTTCTTTTTTACCTCATCATAAATCCACTCTGCGAATTTAGTGACACACTTAATCGTTTCGACAGAGTTGACTACGAAAATGAATTAAATACTCTAAATATGTCTTTAATAAATAAGGTAGGCCTAGATGAAAATGAAAATAACATGTTAAAAATAAGTGTATGAGACGTCGAAAGGGTATTTAAATATGTTAAACCAAACAAAGCGTTTTGCCCAGATATGATCTCTGGAAAGGTTTCAAAGTCATGTCATAAAGAACTATCACACATTTTCTCTTTCATGTTTGATTGGTCATTAGGTACCTACAGTATTCCAAAACTGTGGAAATCTGCAAAAATAAATCCATTAAGTAAGATATCTAAACCAAATTCATTAGACGACTTCAGACCAATTGCATTAACATCCATTTTTATAAAGAGTTTTGAAAATATAATTAAAGGTATGATAGTTGAACAAACAAAAAAATCTGTGATCCATATCAGTTTGCATATAGTGCAAAAAAACGATGCAATAATCACATTTCTGCTTAGAGTTTATGAACACCTTGATAAAGCCAATTGCCATGTTAGATCATTATTTTTGGATTTCAGTTCCGTGTTTAATACAATACAAACACATGTTTTAGTATGAAAGCTCAGAAATATGCATCTAGATCCTCGTATATCACTGTGGATTAGTAACTTTATGAGTTATAGAATACAAAGAGTTAAGTTTGGAGACGTTGCCTCCAACTACATAACATCTAATACAGACGCACCACAAGAGTGCGTTTTATCGCCTTCGTTGTTTTCTTTATACACAAGTGATATTAAGATGTATGGAACCTACATGTAGCATTGTAAAATTTGCAGATGACGTGTGTAACTGGATATATCACAAATGGTTTGAAACAGAAAATAGAAATGAAGTCAGTAGGATTTTAAGTTGGTGTAAGGACAATTATTTGCTAATAAATGTTAAAACACTAAAGAGATGGTGTTTGGTTTTAGAAAATGGTAGAGTTATGTGGTATCAATTCAAATGGAAAATAAGGATATTGAAATGACAAATTAATACAAATATCTTGAAATGACAGTCGATAATAAGTTGAAGTGGGACACTCACACACTTAACTTGTACATTCAATGCAGACAACGCTTATATTTTTTTAGGCAGTTAAGCAAATTTAAAGTTGGACAAGAAACATTATCTTTATTGTATAAGAGCATGATACAACCTGTTATTTGCTTCTACTGTATAGCCTGGTTCTCTGAGCTCTCAAGAAAAAAATCAAGATATATTATCAAAAGTAACCAAGGCCGCAAGTAAAACTATCAACAAAAATGTCAATCCCATAAAAGAAATTGTTGAGGAAGCCTTTTTATCTAAACTGCAAGAAATAATTTGTAATGAAACACATCCCCTACATATTTGAAATACATACTGTATAAACAAATCAGGAAGAATAAGGCAGCTAAAAACAAACCGACCTAAACACTCTTTTCTCTCAAGTGCAATTTGTCTCTACAATGGTAAATTCAGTAGGTTTGATTACGCAAACTTTGCTATATTAGTATTTGGCAACCTATTAGACAACCTGAAGAAACGGTAATCCAGAAGTCGTAGCCCTACAATTACTATGAGGAAAGTAAAATTTTGTCCGTCTCTGAATTTTCATAGTGTTAATTGAGCCTACTATTAATTGTTGGAATGGGTACCTTATAGAATGTAACCAGGGGCGGATATAGAGAAAGATTTTGTTTAGAAATGCTTGAGACGAGATACTGATGAAATTTAAATCGAGAATCAGCTTGATTTGGAGTAGGCCAACGGTAACGTCATGCTCCCATGTTTTTGGACTTTTTTCTTCTGTCTTTTTTCTCCATTTTTGAGGGTTTGGGATAGCTTCTAGTTTGGAACATTCGTCGAGCAATACCAGCACCACGACAGTGGATTCAGCCGAAACATAAATCCGCTTTCTCCCGGCAGGTAAAGCTTGGTTTCCATAGAATCGCTCACCCTATATCGGCGACAGTCGCCGACAGTTGTCGGGAAAGTTGAACCTGGTTCAAAGAAGAATCGGGATGCCTTCCTGATTACGTTAGGGCAGCTAGCAATGCACCTGATTCGTATTTGAAATCTCCAAAAATATAATATGTATATTTCTTGCTTATATTAATTTCAAGCAATTGGTACATTTTTCAATGCATATATGTATTTTTATATCAACAGGTTTTATTATAACCTGTTGTTTACTTATTTCCTACCTTCTTAATGTAGCTATGCTACACTCATTTTTATTTTACTTTTTCATTACATTGACTCATTTTGACTATTTTATTTATTTACCTCGCTCTTGACATTATATATTTATTATTTTACATATTTTACTTGCGTCCATTGTGGCCTAAACGTTATGCTATGTTTCTCTATTTCCTGTTTTTATTTGGAATTTTGGTTAATATACTATTAGTCTGTTTATTATAATGTCGGCATAATGTGGGAACGACTATTAATCTCCGTTCTCATTGCAAACTGTTTATTACTATCAATGTATAGGCCTACCCGATTTTAATTTCTCTCATTATAATCCGCATTGTTATTCTTTAACTCCTCCCACTACAGTGGTTATGTGTGTCCACTTTTTGCTAGTTTTTTTCATGTACCTTGATAAAGACCTGAGGATAGGTCGAAATATTGGTTTTCTCCAATAAAGTGTTGCTGAAGTCTATATAATACATGGTATTCGTTTCCTATATTCTTTTGTTATCGTACTGAAACAAACGTGGAACCTCACTATGTTGTATATATGTACATGTATATATATGTATATGTACATACATATATTTACATTTTTATAAGAGACAGTATATATATATTATATATTATATATATATATATATATATATATATATATTGTCTTTGGTGTCACATTGATTAGTGTCTACATCTAGTAGTTACAGATATGAAATGCCTATTTATATTAGCAGTATAGTAGTTACAGAGATAAAAATCCACTGAAGTCGGAGGTGCACTTCATGTCGCTTTTGTATCACACATTCAATTAGACCGACTAGATTTGATTTATTATATTTCTTGTAAATAAAATTGTCTACTAGCTGCCAAAATTAGACAAAATTAAACCTTGTGACATGGGTCAATGATCAATATCGACGTAATTTGTTTTAAAAAATGGTCGAATCCAATAAACAAAAACATGTGTAAATGAATAATTTGACATCACTATCAAGTCTCTACAGCCAGTTTGTGTAGGGATATGCATGTGCATTAAAACATGTCAAAGGTCAGAACAGCATTTCCGGTCATTTTTTTAAAGCAAACTTTTCTATTATTAAAAAATAGAAACACGAATGTTCCGAACAAATTGGTTCAAAAATTAACTCTCTACCACCAGTGGTTGTGGAGATATGAGGATTCTGTGGCTATGACCTTCACACATGTCGAAGGTCAGAAACGGCTTTTCAGGTCGTATTTTAGTAAAATGTTCTATTAGAGCGAATAGAAACTGAGTATTCCGAACAAATTAACTCTCTACCACACGTGGTTGTGGAGATAATAAGGACTCAATAACTATGACATTTGAAACATGTCAAAGGTCAAAAACAGCTTTCCGGTCATTTTTTAGCAAAATGTTTTATTAGAGCAAATAGAAACATGAATGTTCTGAACAAATAGGCACCCAAATTAACTCTCTACCAAAAGTGGTTGCGGAGATATGACGACCCTACAGATATGACATTTGACCCTGACCTTTCGCCACATTTTGAAAATGTGTTACCAAGTCAAAAATGATTCTTGGACCACCCCAAACCAATTTCTGAAGTAAAATTCTATGGACCTCAAAGTGCATACAAAACCTGGTCTGGCTAATAGGGTAAAATGTTTTTGGCGAAACAAATAAGAAAAAAAAAAATTATTACATTTTTTCCCCCGATCTTTAAAAATATAAGTGTCGCGAAATAAGGAATAAAAAAAGTCTCGAAATATAAAGCTAGTTACAGCTATGCTAGACACCGCAGATCTGACCTTGTATGAGGAAAAAGCAAATATACCAATCAAATAGAATACAAAATATTGCTATCACATTTTGACCTTTAATCAACACATATGTAATATCCATCTCTAGAGTACTGCACTCTGTTTTTACTGGAAAAATAGTACAACACACTTTAATGTATTGCAATAAAATGTTAAATCACAAGATTTGAGCCCTAAATTATTACAGGCTGACACTTTAAACACAAGATCAACAAATAGTCTATGAAAGAGTTACAAGTGCATAGGAGGGGTTTTTCAGGGTAGTTATATATAAAACAACATATGGCTTTAAACTGAATGTAATTAAAAATAAAGTGCAGTATATTTGTGTAAATAATTGAAAAGCAAAGCTAAGTGGTGCATAATAGGAGGAGTATAGAACCAGTATAGATGAAAAACAGCCACTGTAGTGTAATACAGCAATATACTATTCTAGTAACTGTGGAAACTTTGTGCATTCTTTCAAAATCTGTTTTAGAGTAAACTATGTATTTATTGGTAGACAATTATTGGTAAATTCGGTATTGGTAAATTACAGTATTTGTAAATTTGGTTGCTTCTCTCAAGATCTTTCTTTCGCCTCCTTAAACACTGTTTCTGAATACAGCATACCCTTCCTATACACAGCCTTTACCCCTCTCATTCTTTACTGCTGTCACAGTCTCTCCCTTTCCTCATACAGTCATTTTCCTCACACAGTCTTTACCCCTCACTCACATACCCCCTTCTCAAACATATTGTATTAACTGAACAATTCATATTTACCATTTTTTTGTATTTTCTAAACGTGATACAGTATTTGTCTTGAAACAATGATGAATTTAAGTAACATTGACGTTAGTTAATACATCTATTGTACGATAACCTAAATAAACCTGTCTACATAAAACTGGCAAATAATGTCCTCCGTACAATTACAATGCTGTATACAGTATTTTATTAACACAATTGAACATTGCTAATACTTTGTACAAATATCTGGATATTTTGAGCATGATTGAAAAGTGGTTTCCTTCAAGGAAATCAAATTAAACATAATAGATGTTTGTTCTATATGGAATGGTATTGATATAAATTAAGTTGAAATAATATGTAGATAATTCATCAAATTCTAATACCTGATCATACAGTACTAAACAATGGTGTTCTATGAAATCTTGGGAACCAATCACAATCAAGAACATGAATTATTTTTTACTCTAAAAATAATTTAAATTTAGCTGCTGATTGTAACTGTCAGGGTAATTTCTGCTTTACTTGGGTTACAGTTAACAGACATCCTAAAAAATGTCATCACCATGGATTCATAACTTGAAATGTTACTTTTACACTTTAAATCCATAAATATTGTATCTTGACTGTATCTTAAATCCATATAATGTATGTTGAATCCATATACTGTATCATGAGACAATATACTGTATCTTTAAATGACATATTTTTACTGTATCTTGAATTCATATACTATATCTTGAATTTACATACTGTATCTTTATACTATTTGGTACTGTATTCTGAATCATGATAGTCCATCTTCAATCACTACTGTCATGAATAAATTTAATCTTAAATTCATATATTGTACAGTTCATTGATTCCATACACTGTATCTTACATCCATATACCATATATAGAATTCATAAAATGTATACTGAATCCATATACTGCACTATATCTTTCATGCATATAGTACTGCATCACCTGACAGAATAATTATATTGTACTGTATATGAAATCCATATACTTCACCTCAAAATATTACTATGCTTATACACATTACAGGTATATAAACATGAATTTCTCTAGTACAGAAAATGTTACCTTCACAAGATAAACTGTTTTGCTCAAATTAAGATATTACATTGTAGTATTGCTTTCTATTAGATTTAGCACCTGAAATCTAATCAAATAAATTAATAAATCAACATTATGTTCATTTTACCTTGCTATACATTGGTTCTAAGCAGAAAGGTCATATCTTCTTCTACATACTAATAACAGTGGTTAAAATATACATTGCATTCTTCTCATAGCACATACATAAAGGTATACTATACACGTAAATGCATACAGCATGCATATCAAGGAAAATGTCGCATATATATTTTCACTCACACATTGGATTTTCAGTAGACGTTCAGAACATTACGCTTATTCTAAAAAATAAAAATGTCTCCTTTTTTTGTTTATAAATTTTAGATTGTTAACCTTTATTATTATAGCTTTCATTCTTATATCTAATATAATTTACTGAAATTGTATAATTTACCTAAAATATTTGCTTTCAGCTTCCATCCTCTAATCATCCTATGTCAGCCAAAATACATATTTTCAAATCTTTAATTATTCCATTATTTCTTTTTTTTTCAACAAATTTGCCACTTACAAAATTTATCTGGATACTGTATCTTCAATACTGTATCTTGCATAAACTGTATATAGAATCCATATACCGTATATTAAATCCATATACTGTATATTACTGTAAATCCATATAGTGTATATTAAATCCATATACTGTATATTAAATATATATACTGTATATTAAATATATATACTGTATATTAAATCCATATACTGTATATTCAATCCGCACTGTATTGATGAATTCATTAGATCCACAGAATGAGTATTAAATACTGTGTATCCACAATCTGCATGTTGAATCCATATACTGTACCTTTAAATACTGTGTACTGTATAATGTATATAGAGCAGTACAATATTTTTTCTATACTGCATATACAATCCATATACTATATCTATAAATACAGTGTACACTGCATACTTTCGTTCAGTGTACTGTATATACTGTGTTTATTTTTTTGTTTTATGGGAATTTGTTCTGAAATAAAGTACTGAATGAATGAATGAATAAATATACTGTATTTAAAATCCATATACTGTATCCATGTATACTGACCTTTATACAATGTATTTATCCACTTACATAAAATCCATATATTGTATCTCAGATGCAGGGATCCAAGTCTCCTACAAGTCACTGTAGTCTTCTGGAAAATTGGACTTTCACAAGCAAGCAAGGATCTCCCGGAAAATAACCCTCTACCCACAAATCATTCGTAATTGGGACCCCTACAGATAACATAGAGTGATTCAACACATCTAGTTCATACAGTTGGCTGTCTCATGGCAAAACGTAACTGCTACTATATTTTTGTGCAGATACTGTACGTTGTTTTGCCTTAGAACGGCCGCGGTGTTTCTTTGTGTATACAGTATTATGATTTGTGTGCGTACGTTCATATCTCACATATATACTGTACATTTTCATTTTTACAAACTGGCTTCTTGAAATATGGAGGTGCCTCAGCACTTGCAATCACTCACTACTCAAGGCATTAATCTAAACTGGAAGCTACATTTTTAACTTATCCTGTTTTTATTCATTTATTACTCAGCTGTCATTTTTTAATATTACATTTTAAGAATATTTTTCCAATCTACTTTGGTCCACTTTTTATATTGAGAATGTATTATAGTTCATGATCCCTTTTATCAGAATTAAATTCTTATTACTTAACTTGCATTTAAAGCACACTTGTATTTATATCAAATTGTGATACTAACAACAATTTCTTTGCCACATTGGATAGTAACAGAGACTACCATTTTGTAGCAAGACAAATGATAGTTAACACGCTACTTTGTAACTAACCCAGGGGGACATTTTAGGTCTTCACTGACTATGCCGTAGCATGGTCACCACCTGGGATGGTTACACATACTAATTTGTAGCATGGCCATCACCTGGAATAGTTACACAGAAAAAATTGTAGTATGATCCCCAACATAGGATGGTTACAGTGACTTATTTGTAACATGACCATACCTGGGATTGTTACACAACTAATTTGTAGCATGGTCACCACCGATGGTAGCATGGCTAACCAGACTGCTATGTACCACACTACCAGCCTGCCACATTGGGTAATTACCTTCACCAATGCAATGTATTACAATGACCCTAGTATTGGTTCAAATTGTTAAATACCTTTTTTCATATATAGCATTGAGAAATTCAGATCTGCCCACAAAATGAATAATTAATTTATAATAAATTGTTGTCATATGACAATTAGGCTTTGTGCTATCTAGCAAGTTGCATCACTTTCAGTGGTTGATTTGACAGCTCCTATGTAGCATGCCACCATCTGACATTGAATCACTAGCAAAGGGTTGATTGCATAAGGATTAGGATGCTCAAAGTACTAATGTGTAGGATCCTATCTGGCATGATTAATCATACTACTACTCATTCTGTAGTTGCATTGCACCACTTTGTAGCATGGCCACACCATGTAATGTGGCACCATCATGTAGCATGGAATCACCTCAACATTTTGTGGCAAGAGAAAAAGTAATACTAAAATATCTATTCAAGTTGGAATACTGCCATAATCTCTGTGCGAGTTCTCAATGTTCCTGGGATCCATTCACTGCTAAAGAGTCTTCACTGTATGTACTGGAGCTGAGTTCACTTCCAGAGCTGCCACTACTGGACATCCTTGGACGAGGAACCGTCCTCTTAATCGGAGTGATATTCATTTCAAGTTCATCAATTGAATTTATTGTCTTATCCTTGCTTTTGCTTGCCATTTTATTTGTCGTACTCTTCGTCGGGAATGTGAAGTTGATGCCGGAATCCTGCAGCAAATGTTCTGGGATTAAACTCTGAAGTTTCTGGATTGTGCTAAGCAAAGCCTCTCTTTCCAACTCCAGTGTTCTCTTCTCAGACCGGAGCTTTGTTTCTGAAGCCTATATAGAACAAAGATAAATATTGTTTTAACATTTTCTTGAGAAGTGCACCAAAGCTTTTGCATTTACTATAAAATGATCCAATTTATAAGGCATATTACCAAAATAATTTGACAAAAAACATGTGACAGCTAGACCAAAAAAAAAGAAGAAATAGGCCTAATGAAATGCACGTTTATTGTGTTGAGTTTAGGAGTATGTAACAAATTGTATTTCAACAACTTTACATTTAAAAGTATTTTTCAAGTCTGCGAGTGCTACAGTATTTCCTATTTTTGATTAAATCTCACCCCTCCTCCCAAACCCTCCCCCCCACCTAAAGTCAGAAGGCCCGAGGATGGCGATTCGCACCAAAGTTGTCCTTATTTCACATTTCACTCAGCAAACCCCAACCCCCGTTGGACAGCTTAGCACTCCCGGAAAATATATCCTAGAGCCGCCACTGCAGAGCTTTAAATATCATCGACAGATAAAAATACATTGACAAATTTACAGGCCAAATATTAAATGTTACTGAAATGATGATTAACTAAAACAAAGACAAACATGATAATTATGATAACAATTATTAAGGTGATGATACAATGCTTACCTGTAAATGTTGGACAGTGGCCTCCTGGCTGTGTCGAGCATTTCTCGCAGACTGCAGTTGCTCAATCAACTCCATGTTCTGTCTTTTCAGTTTAAGATTAGCTGCCTCTAATGAAGCCAACTGATCGCCGGATTGCGGTGTGTTCACCATCTCCTCCTGAATTACGTGGTACTCCACTTCGTAAGCGTGTAACTCCTTTGATATATCTAATTCGAAAGTCTGTGGGAGATTAAAGTATAATAAAATAATATACTATTGTAGTAACAATTAAAACACTCAGGCTCACTACAGTAGGTCTTGTATATTGCTCCTGGTATAAAGGATTTCAGGGAATTGAGTTTCTTTTAAAATATGGTATGATTAATCCCCTCTCAACTGTGAACATGCCTATGTCAAAGGTCATGCATATAAACAAAAATCAAATGGTTAAGACTATTGTCTGCATTTATATAGAATGCTATTACTAGGCTTAACAGTGTTGTTGATGTATGTGAATTACATATGTATGACCTTTGACACACATGTGCAGTTAAAACTAGAATGGTTTACTACAAGTTCAGTATAATATCAGGTTATATTTACACTTGCATCTGCATATTTACACTTGCATCTGCACATTTACATTATTTAATAAACATTATTTTTTAATATTTAATTGATTTATAATTATTTCTTATGGAGTGAAGTTGCCTCTTCTTTTTAGAACAATCGCTTTACTTTAAATCCAAGGATTGAAAAGGGATATCTTAACCAGCCAAGCAATCACTCACTCCATTTTGTTTTCATTCATTACTTAGGCAAATGGGTTAAGGTTTACCATTAATACAATAATTACTAACTTACAATCCTGTTCACAAGATAAATCTATACACAAAATGCTGTATATAAACCTTGTTTTAAAGATTAGAAAATTGAGAATGTTTTGATTGACAGGAAAAATCCTGTCTCCTGATAGGTATAGAGGGATTCCACGATGGGCGTCACATGACCTAACCTGGGCGTTGGATATTAACAATCGACTGATACAGTGGGTTTTTACATAGATTGCTGTTGCAGCCGTCCCTTGTTTATTGCTGTAAAGAACATCATAATTCCTGGTAAACTATACCAATTTATTGGAAATTAAACTTAAGAATTTTGCTTTAATGATTTGCTAATGCTGTAAAGGATACTGGCCGCAAACATTGAGATTTTTCGACGAATGTTAGGCCTAGGCCCCACGGCCATCTACAGCATGGTTAGTTATACATGATGGTCTTTGACCTGCAAACTATGCTGCGATGTTAGGGCTAAGGTTTATGAAGAATCACTTAAGTTTCAAAGCATACAATCCTTGGAGAACGCTAGGATAAGTAACTAAACACAATTTTGAACAATCGTATTGCCTTTACTAGCCATTTATTTCTCACCTTAACACTGGGTTATTATTTTCGCAACCATAACAGAAAGGTAGTTTTTTAATATTCACAAATCTGTATCTCACTTTATCTGACTTTAATATAATTTCTTATAAACCTAATGATTGTTGTATATAAACCATCAATGATTATATATTTTGGTTATGGATGGTTACATTTTGTCTGTGGAGGAGCTAATACAAATTACAATGAGATCAATAACAATAATGATAGACTATTTGAATAGGTTCACATATTTTAGTTATTTATCATGTACGTGGAGGTGTTTTAATACAGATATTTCATATGCGTCATCAATTTTAATCTAATTTGCAGGTATATCTATTAGGCCATAAAAACAAATTCTTGAGTTGGCCACATTTTGGAAAATCCAAAAAATGGGTGTGGCGGTAACGGTTTATGCCTAAAAAGTAGAAAATACACAAAAATACAACAATCTAAAAATCTATATTGAAGAGCAAAACGATCGCGTAACACTGTCGTATTGACTACCGTTGCAAGATAAGCCTATTCCAGCCTTTTTTCATTAAAAAAATATTTTTCGTTGTAGTCAAAAAAATAAATAAATAAAATGCCGACCATTCAATTTCGACCATTTTGGGTCAGTCGGGCGTGGCCAACACAATAATGTTTTTTACTTGGCCTTACCTCCAGGTCTTAAAATATATGGCAACAGTCACATTACAGCCGGAAGAATGGGTTGAGAAATTTGTAGTCTGAACCAGCCTGGGTTGGCTGGGGTTGAAACTGCTCTCAACCCAGGAAAGGATACATCCAGGTCGCCCCTGGGTTGACTTGGGTTTCATAATATGACCAACCACAATCACAGTACGATGTTCTTGCTCGAAGATTTCTACTATCTGAATTAGGTCAAATGAGGTCAACCCAGGCAAGTGTGGACACTGGACATTTTCAAGCCAGGCATGAGAACTCAACCGTACTGAGTCATCCCAGGCTTGAGGTTCTAGTGTGACCGTAGCCTAAAGCATGTTATGAAATCAAGCAGTAGAGCATCAATGGCCACCAAGTGTACAGAATGCAGCAGGGGTTGGGGGTAGGAGAGAAAATGTTGTTATAGTCACTAAGGCAGCAGTTTTTAAACTATGGGTTGCAACCCAAAATTGTGTCACCAAATAATTAGTGGGTTGCGAGTTTCTTTAAATTTTTTTTTTTTTAAATTGATTTTTATATCATGCTGAAAGTTGCTGTACTATAATAGAGAGCACATTTTAAGTAGTCATAAACATTTTACTTGTTAACAAACCATTTTGAGTATCTGTTTTAACGTCAGCCTAAGGTCATAATTCATTTATCCTTTACTTGCCATTTTTGATTGGCTACGATAATAAAATAGTGGTATATCCCACCTTGTTGATGACTTTTTCCATTTGCACAATGCCGAGAGATGGAAGGGTATCCTTGAGGAATTCGATGATCGCCTCAAAGCCGTCACACTGGAGGATCAACTCCTCGTGACTTCCCAGAATAATCAATGCTACTTTGAAGATTACATCAAAACCTTGGAGGAAGATCAAATCTGGAAGACAAAATACAAAATAAAATTAAATCAAAATGTTGAATTTTAAAATAATAATAACTAGATTTACTATGTAATCAGGTTTGATTTTAGATGCAGCCTTTAACCAAGTAAAACCACAGGGTGTAATTAAATTTTATAATACATCTTGACTATTTCAAAGACTTCCTGAAATGTCAGTTAAAATGTAACAAAAAAAAAAATTTGAGTAGTAATCTTACTGTTTTAACCAACGTCCATGATGTACCTTACTGCAAACAAAATTTTACTCTAAAAATAAACGTTTTTACATTTTACTATACTATGCATTACTGTGTTTGCATTGTTCTCCCGAAGCCGTTTTACTGTCAATTTTACCAGTCAAAATAACTGACCAACCAACCAGTAAAAATTGTGTGTTGGTAGAATAAAAAAAGCACTTATTAGGCCTAGGTATCCTAGGCTGGCCTTTTTTCATATATGAACATCATTCCAGTTCAGGCCTAAGCTATGATTAATGTATTGTTTTTTAAAGCCATTGAACTTTACGTAAGAGGCAATACCTCATGTGTGCGTGCTAAGCTGGCTTTATATGGACAAATTTACCAGTAAAACATTTTAAATTGGGAAAACACTGGTTTGTTTACAGTCGAATACAAGATATTACACAACCCTGGTGGCTGATTGTATGCTATGCTTCCAGCTGTGACAAATGTTTTCAATTAAACCATAACCAAATATTGTTAGAAAATCACAATCAGTTAATATGAATCTATCCATGATAATTGAGATTTGTTACAATTAGGATTTGGATTGTACACAGATTAAATTTGACTTATAAGCTTAACATAGATTTGGTTATCTGCATGCATAATGCACCAAGATCAAATCCCAGGGTGTGTTATACTTTGCATAAGACAATATGCAGTACTAGTACTGCACAGTACATGGATATGATCAAATTTGATGATTAATTTACTGCTTTAATAGACGGTGAAATATAGTACCTTGAATCTAGTTTTCTTACATGCAACATCTCTTGAAAGTTTTGTATTATGTACTAAGGCGAGACATTTTTTTTACCTTGATAAGCAAATCTGCCACTCGCCAAAAATTATGATTTCGATGTAAAACAACACTTAACATAGTTCTCTGCACTTTAATGCTTCTTTACATCTATTTAATGCTATTACTCATGTAATGCTATCTTATGGTGATATTGTCCTAGGCGCTAGTAATATGAATACAATTTGCATTTTATTGTAAACACTTTTCAGATCCAAGTATATTAACTACATAAATAGACAGGTTTATGGCTTTTCTAAAATTAAACTTTTCATTTTTTAGGTGCATGACGAAACATAAGTAGAGTCTATATATCTGGAAAAAATAATACAAAAAATAATACCTCAAAAAATTGAAAATAGTAAAATCCTGATCGCATTACCAGACGACTCTCCACAGGACCCAACTACAGCAGACAACACTGGCCACACTCAGTCAAAATGCTTTATAAACACCAGGCCAGATCTTATATACACAGTTACCAGTCTACTGGACCATGCAGTGACCATAATAGTTATACGCAATGACTCAGATAGCCCTTTATACACACACCTGGTTTTGTCTCAAACTACAATACTTTGTGGTTAAATGACTCAGAAAATAAGAATGGACCAACCAGTGCTTAGCAAACAAACAGAGGGAAGTATATTCCTGAATTGTAGTAAATAATATTTGCATTAAAAATTAAATGTACCATACTTCCAAAGGATGGTACTTAAATTCAAGGACATAAAAAATGAACAATGTTGACTTTTCTTATACAGGAAGATGTATTATGATAAGATAATAATATAGCCAATAGTCCTTTGATTTTTTTTTTCCAGGTAAACATTATTATATTCTGGAAAGGCAAAACATAATAGAAAATTTTAACCTAGCAGGAACTGGTTTAAAATACTCCGTACCAACACTAGTAGACACGAATAAGGACAAGACCTATACACAACCACCTAACTTAACATGAAAACAAAAACTGGCAAAAAAACAAAACCATGCAAATTTTCCAGGAGGTCCAGACACATTCCAGGACCCCTACCTAGTTGGTTTAAACAAAGGAATGATTTTCATAGTGTATAAATAACTGGAATAAATATCAACTTCTACTGGAGGATTTTTATAAATTTATGACCTGTAAGTTGAGACATAACATGATTTATTTATTTGTTGTCAGATGAAGTAACAGAACACAACCTATTGCCAAATATATTGATAATAACAATATTCTATGCTACATCATATAATGTCTTTGCTACATCTTCTAATTTTCTATATTCCATCAAACAGTGTCCTGTGCTGCATCAAACAGTGTCCCATGCTACATCAAACAGATTCCTATACTACATCAGTCTCCTATGCTACATCAAACAATTTCCTATGCTACATCAAACAGTTTCCTATGCTACATATCAAACAGTCTCCTATGCTACATCAAACAATTTCCTATGCTACATCAAACAGTTTCCTATGCTACATCAGATTCCTATACTACATCAGTCTCCTATGCTACATCAAACAATTTCCTATGCTACATCAAACAGTTTCCTATGCTACATATCAAACAGTCTCCTATGCTACATCAAACAATTTCCTATGCTACATCAGACAGTTTCCTATGCTACATCAGTTTCCTATGACATATCATATAATGCCCTATGCTAATTCACAATCATCACATAATGTCCTATGATACATCATATAGTGTCCCAGTATGTTACATTCTATTATGCATATTACTGCTAGATCTAAATCTGGTATAATATGCCACATACCTACATCTTAGAGTGTCTTATGTTACACCTATTAGTATTGATGTCCTATGTCCTTACTCAAAATATTAAATTGCTGTAAGCATCATATAATGATTACAATGTTGTACACTGTGTCTTCACTCACCTTATGATACCATACTGACTATAAAATCTTTTTTTTTTTACAATTTCCTGGTTTTGCATTCCTATCAAATAAATTATGCAGGACTTCGCTAATGAGAAAATAGTAAATTAATTAGCCATTTGACATATTAAGTAGATATTTTAGTGCAATGTACAACAAAACTATAATATGCAACTTATCTATGAGGACTATGTACATAAGAAAGTATAATACATACTCCAAGTATTGAAATACATGCCATCGTGTTGGGATTCAATATTTCGACATTAATTATGTCATCATCAGGAATGACTATGTACATCAACTAAAATATTTCTCAGGCACTTGATCAATCAAATTTTAATTTTTTTCCCCCACTGGTGCTTGTTTTTATAGGATTTTATTTAAAGTTCCAAAAATTCTTGTCTTGTGATATCTCAATTTTGTTATGATCCAGAAAGAGGTTAATAGCCCTAAATACCAGTAGAAGTCACAATTTTTTCTTTCAAAACTTACCAAACACTCTTGCGACGAATCCTAGTGGAAACTGCGAAGTGAATATCGTAAGGAACCACGCTGCAGCATACAGGGACGGTCCAATGTCGTTGGCCTCCAGGTGGTCATGTAAGCGCCGGTGATGGTCATGAAGAAGACGTGACAACTGGTACATTTGAATCTGAAAATAAATTAAAAAAATTAACATATGTGAATTCAGTAAGACAGTAAATTTGTTTTATGTACGGTTGAACTTGCCTAAGTCGAATCCAAAATGCCATTGAAAAATTGTTCAACTTAGATATATTTTGACTTACAGATCGTAAATTAATGGAAAACACAAAAATTTGGCATGCAAAATAAGATCAACTTAGAAATTATTTGAGTTAGGCAAAGTCGACTTAGGCAGGATTAACTGTAATTTTAAAATATTTAGGAATTAATTAGGGGTTGTACATATAATGTTTTAATTCTAATTTATTTTGTACTTATAGTTTTTGCATTTTACGATAGTGTTAATACTGATTAACAAGTAGGCCTATGGTGTTTTAAGTCTAATTAAGTTTAATGTGTATTTTTGTTAGATTTAGGAATGGTGCTTAATAGTCTAAGGACACAACCTTGCCTATAAACTTTGTAATTTCTGTTGAGTCAAGTATAACCGTGAATAAAGAAGTTATTATTATTATTATTTTGTTAGCAATACCATCATTAATAATAATAATAACAATTTTATAATTATTCAATTTAGAACAATTAACATACTAATAGGAAAAATTATGTAGATAATTTCCAATAAACTTTAATGAAGAATACCTAGATGGAAAATCAATAGTCTTTGTTTTTACAATGAACCTAAAAAGAAATACCGAAGTGCTGCAGCGCTTATAAAATTTTGGAGGCTTTATTACGGCGCTTAAAAAAAAAAAAATATTGGTATGTCGCTTTACCTGCCCGTTCCCATGTTACATTTCCGAAATATCCCTACAGTTCAGTAGGCCTATCGTAGGTCCTACATCATTGTAAATAAATGTTTATAAGGCCACTTGTGTCCTCATGGTTATTTAATCATTTTAATGCTGTATGGATTGTATTTAAAACCCTGTTTCTCTAAGTTTCATTACACATAGTTTAATAATATATTCTTGATTAAGCGCCGCGGCGCTTATTCGAGAGCATTGCTTAGTGAAAAATATTAGGTTTGGTGCAGAAGCTTATTCAAGCATTTACGGTAACTTAAACCAACTGTCAAATTACATAGTTTTACAGTAAGGAAACAAAGTATGGAATACTTGGATGAAAGATCAATTTACATAATTTTGCAATAAATCCAAAACAACATATGACTGACAGCAATTTACATATTTTTTACAGTTCGCTTGGCAGATATACCTAGATGGACTATCAATTGACGGTATTAAAATATTAACTCAATAAAGAACACCTAGATGGACTGCAAATTTACATGTTTTTACAGTTCCCTAGAAGGATATAAATGGACCATCAATTGTCAATACACTGCCACTATTATTAACCCAATAAGTATCACGAAACTGACTGTGAATTTAATGCATGTTGATAGTAAAACCCAAAGGAGTACCTAGATGGACCGTAAAGATTCATAGCTTTACAGTTAACCAAATTTACCTGGAGTGCAACCATATCTGGCTTGTATTGTCGTCTGAAAGAAAGGTGAAACATCAAATATTGCATCATCTGGAAGGCCTCCTCCTCTTCAATCTGGAAAAAATAATTAAAATATTATAATAAACAAAAATTA